AATCATTGAACTACTAATTTAATTTTTCTGAATGATTCGTTAACTTTTCCTAGCTTTGTATTAGTTGTTGTTATATACCACTAAATTGAAACTGACTCATTTTTTGTTATATACCACTGAGTTGAAACTGACTCATAGCTGACCCTCCCTCCACTGAGTTTTCAGAAGCAGTCAGTGGCACTGGGAGAGATTTTCTGTATTTCTCTGTAGAGCAGCTGGTGGATTTGAACTACCAGAGAGGCACGGCTTTTAGATTAACAGCAAAACTACTTCTGGGCTCTACCACTAGAGTTGTTTGTATATGTAAGTTGTTTTTGTGCTCTCTAGTTGTAACTGACCCATGTCCGACCCTCCAGTGGATTTTCAGAAACAGTTAATCATGTGGAAGGAACCTGCCCATCTTTCTCCGGTGGAACTGGGCATTTAAACTGCATGCCTTTGAGATCACAGCACAGCTTCTTAACATTAGACCACCAGAGCTCCCTCAATATGAATAGAAACTATAGATGGATGGATGGCCACCAGAGTTCCCTCTATATATGAATAGAAAAGATGGATGGATGGACGGACGGATGGATGCTATAGATTCTAATTGTTCACTAGAGTTCCCCTTGTAGTATCAGTCACAAATACTATTAACTATTTATTTGTGTAGCTTACTTTAAAAAGTCAGCTTTCCTCATTATAGTTTGGTGGCCTATGGGTAAGGAATTGCACTGCCAACCCAAAGGGACACAGATCAAATCCATCAACTCCTCTGTGGGAGAAAGGTGGACACTCAGCTCTGATGTCATTTACTGCCTCTGAAAACCTGCTGGAGGGTTAGCTGTGAGTTAGCACCAACTTGACGGCACCTAACAATATCAGCACTGGCGTAATATCTGTCTTGATCATTTGTATCTCTAGAATCTGGCATAGTACCAGACACAGAATTGATAGATATCCTTATGGATAGAGTGAGTCAATAATTAAATAATAAATTATTTAATGTTTGATGAGATTGATAGTTTAATAACTTAGGATATAATGAATCTTTTCTGTTCTGAGGTGAAACCATAATTAACTACTGATACTTGCCATGGGTTTATATTAAAAGAAGTGCCATTTTTGCTGTGCATTTTGGTTTTTAAAATTTAGGCTATTTTAATGACATCTTGCCATGAATAACCTTAGTGAATCATAAAAAGTTTAAAATAATGCCTCTTCTGAAATTCTGTTACTCAACTTTTTGCATATATTGTTTTGACTTTTTGCAGAGTTTAAAGGCAGCATTATTTGTAAGGAATCACTGAATAAAATATTTGCAGTGAATTGCTATGAATTTATATATGGTTCAAGTTTTCTCTTTCTTCAGTTGCTGTTAGGTGCCATCAAGTTGATTACAACTCATAGCGACCCTCTGAACCTTGCTCTTTCCTGAGTCAGCCTCACTTTCTCTACACATCTGACACCATTGCCACAATCACTGTGTCAATCTGTATCATCCAGGGTCTTCCTTTCCTGTTCTGACCTTCTACCCTTCTAAACATGGTGTCCTTCTCCAGGAACTGGTCCCTCCTGCCACCATGCCCCAAATATGTGACACGGTTTGAAAATCCTTACCACTAAGAAGCAACCTGGTTTCCTTTTCTCCAGGAGAGACCTCTTGGCAATGCATGTTATGTTCAGTACTCTTCTCCAGCATCACAACTCAAAAGCAGTGATTCTTCTTCTGTTACCCTTATTCATTATGCAGCTCTTTGATGCATAGTAAGCAGTTGCGAATACCGTGGCCTGGATTAGGCACACTTTCATCTCTGTACTAATTTCCATTTTATCCAACAGTTAGTATTTATTGGATATCATTTATAGTTACTTTATTTAAAAATGTCTTCAATTACTTTTTCTTCTAGGGAATTTGGAGTCCTCGAAAAATTCCTAATCCTGATTATTTTGAGGATGATCATCCATTTCTTCTGACACCTTTCAGTGCTCTTGGTTTAGAGCTTTGGTCTATGACCTCTGACATCTACTTTGATAATTTTATTATCTGTTCAGAAAAAGAAGTAGCAAATCAGTGGGCTGAAGATGGTTGGGGCATGAAAACAATGGTAGCAAATGCTAATGAGGTATGTGTGACATTCACTATAGTGAAAGTAATGCAACTATGTCCTTCTCATAACACTGGATCCTTTTTTAAAGTAAACCTGCTAAAACTACTAATTACTAAGGAAATGTATTTGAAGAGATTTATGAACACTGAATATTTAGCTTTATTAACTATATTATGATACAAATTCATTATAAACTATGTAAGGAAACATTTAGGTCTTACTTTTATACATTAAATTATAATAGCTTTAGTTTAATCCTGTGTCTTACCTTGACACTTGTTGTAGCTGTTGATTTAAGAAATACTGCTTTTATAATTATCATCTTACCAGTTCAAGCCTAGGCAGTAACAGTAATAATCTGAATGATGTTGTTGTTATTGTTGTGTGCCATTGAGTTGGAACTGACTCATAGCTGACCATCTGGCAGGTTTTGTGAGGCAGTTAATCACATGGGAGGAGATTGCTTATCCTTCTCCCATGGAGTCGAACCTTGTGCTTCTATGCCACCAGCGCTCCTGCAAGTATTTTGATAACTTTTTTACTAAATGGAGTGCAGAGGGAAAGTAGATTTAGATTTTAAAATTGTGTCCATTTCCCCCAAAATTTATGTTATACACAATATATAAAGCCAAAATACCTTAACACAATTCATCTTTGAGAATGTGTCTTTAAGATTATATAAAGAAAAATCTATACTTCATATTTGCTGTTATGGAAAGGTAGAAAAGAATCGCATTTTGAAACTCTTGGAAGTGAAATATTTAAGGATTTGGGATTTCAGCTTAAGTATAAAATTAATTTTAAATTTAGAAAACTTTATTCTGAGGTATAATTTTATTAACAAATACTTTAAAACTAAAGAATAGGTTATCAGAGAAATTTATACTTAAATGAACCAGGTACATCCATAAAGAATAATTCTATTCTGAGAGTTACTAAAAAAATTAAAATTATCTTTGTTTTACTGGTAGTATTTCTATTAAAAGGGAGCTCTGGTGGTCTAGTGGTGAGAAGCTGCGCTGCAGTCCCCAAAACACACGGTTAGAAGCCATTAGCTCCATGGGAGAAGCATGGACAGTCTCCTCCTGTGCAGTTAACTGTCTCTGAAAACCCACCGGAGGGTCAGCTATGGGTCGGTACACAACAGTAAGAACAACATTTCTATTAACGTAGGTTATTCTCTGCTACAGAGTCTTACTCAGTAATGTATAAGGCATATTGACAATTAAAAAGTTTAGAGTTTTCAAAGTGTAAGATACAAAGAAGGAATGCATCTTTTTATAAGTTTACTTATTGATGTGAAGTTTTAACGTAATATAAGTTGTTGTTTTGGTAGGCTGTATTTCCCAGTTGAGGTTATAAAATCTGAATTGCCTTTTTCTACTTATTTGTTTTGTAGCCTGGTGTGTTTAAACAGTTAGTGACAGCTGCTGAAGAGCGCCCATGGCTTTGGCTCATTTATCTGGTAACAGCAGGGTTGCCAGTTATATTAATTATTTCATTTTGTTGGCCAAGAAAAGCAAAGGTAAGAAAATTAATTTCCTTCAACTTTTAAAATTTATTCTTTCCTAGTGTTTAGAGGTTTTATGAACCATGAAGGTGATTCTTAGAAGTAACAAAGTAAGGGGAGCTCTGGTGGCCTAGTGGTAAGGAGCTGCAACTACAATCCCAAGGCACACGGTTCAAATCCACCAGATGCTCTGCTGGGGAAGGAGGGACAATCTCCTCCTGTACCAGTCAGATCTGATTTGATGGTACACTCACACAAAAATAATAAAATAAAATTAAAAAAAAAGAAGTAACAAAATAAGCAAACAGCAACAAGACAAACCAACCAATAAAAAATGGGTAAAGTACACTAACAGATACTTCACCAAGAAAACATTCATGCAGCTAACACATAACAGGATGTTTACGAAACAGATCTAAATTACAGTGGCTTATCATCTCATCCCTGTAAAAACGCTAATAATAAAAACAATTAGAAAACATCAGATACTGGTGCTCCTGTGGGAGAGGGGAACTGTTACATGCTGCTAGTGGGATTGATTGTAAGATGGAACAACCACTCTGAAAAATGGTATGGTGCTTCCTCAGGAAGCTAGAAATATAAATGATCCCACAATCCTTTTCCTACGTATTGTTGTTGTTGTTTACTGTTGAGTTGGAACCAAACATAACTGACCTTCAGGTGGGTTTTTAGAGACAGTTAATCATACAGGAGTAGATTTCCTGTCCTTCTTCTGCAAACCTGCTAGTGGATTCAAATGGCACATTTTTGGGTTGGCAGTGTGATTTCCTACCCCTAAAGCCAGGAGAGCTCCCTTTTGAGGTATATATCACAGAAAAAGAAGAGCACTGACCTGCATAGATGTATGCACATTCATGTTCATTACAGTATTTTTCATTGTAGCATAAAGATAACCACGTATCTCAACAGATGAATGAACAAACAAACTGTGGTACACACCTAGTGAATATGTTGTATAGGTGCATCAAGTCAACTACCACTCATAGCAACTCAGTGAAGAGCAGAGATGAACCTTGCCCTGTCCTGCACCACCCTCACAATCTCTGTCATGCTCAGGCCCATTAGGGTAGCCAGTGTGTCGGTTCATTTCCTTGAGGCCCTTTCTCACTTTAGTTGACTTTTATCTTTCCCAGTGTGATGACATTTTCCAAGGACCAGTGTCTCCTACAAACATGCTCAAAATATGTTTCACCATCTTTACCTCTGAGGAGCACACTAGCTGCACTTAAGACAAATATGTTTTTTGGGTTTTTTTTTTGCAGTGTCTCACTTTCAAAATAACAGTCCTTTGAAAACCCTATATACAATAGAGCACATTTAGAATAGACTAGCAGATAGGACAACTGAGATTGAGGCCTCAGATAGGGAAACACAAAGGAGGAGCAGACACTAGTGACTGGAATGTGGAATGTGAGAAACTTGAATGTAGGAAAAGTGGACATAGTTAAAAAAGAAACGGAATGCATGAATATTAACATCCTAGGTATTGGCGAAATGAGATGGATTGGCATGATGCATTTTGAATCAGACAGTCATATGATCCTGCTATGCCAGAGATGAAAAGGTGAGGAAAAATGGAGTAGTTTTCATAGTTAAAAAGTTTTTTCTAGATCCATCTTGAAATATGTGAATGACAGGATAATATCCATACAGGGAAGCCTGATGTCATTCACAACTATACACCAACAGTCAGTCAAAGAGGAAGAAATAGATTATTTTTACCAACTATTGCAGTCAGAAACTGATTGAACATGAAGTCAAGATGCATTATTAATAATGGGTGACTGGAATGCAAAAGTTGGTTGGGAACCAGGAAGAAAGGTCAGTATTCAGAAAACATGGACTTGATGATAGAAATGAGGCTGGAGATAGAATGATAGAATTCTGTACCATCAATGATTTATTCTTTCCAAATACCTTTTATAAGAAACATAAATACAGACTAAATACTTGGATTTCACTTGATATTTTCAAATGGAGGAAATTCAAACTGCTCTGAATGAATTGCTGTGAAAAACAAGGCTCTGTGAATTGAAGGCATAGCCATTGACATATTTCAACAAACAGATGTGCTGGCCTGGATGTGTTCACCAGATTGTGCCAAGATTTCTAAAGGACAACTACCTGACCAACTAACTGGAAGAGATATACATATTTATTCCTATCCCAAAAAAAGGTGATCCAGCAGAGTGTAGAAATTAACAAACAGTGTCACTGATATTACACACAAGCAAAATCCTGCTGAAGATTATCCAAAACCAATGGGAACCGTACAGTAACAGAACTAACAAAAATATAAGCTGGATTAGAAGATGCCATGGCACTAGAGACATCAACAGTGTCATATAGATCTTGGCTGAAAGCAGAGAGTATCAGAGCAATGTCTGTGTTTCATTGAATACGCAAAGACATTTGACTGTGTAAGTCACAACAAATTGTGGCTAACCTTGAGAAGAATGAGAGTCCCAGAACACTTGACTATGCTCATATGAAACCTATACTTAGGCCAGGAGGCAGTCATCAGAACAGAACAGGGAAACACACTGCATGATTCAGAATCAGGAAAATAGTATGTCAGGGATGCATCCTGGCTCGATACTTTTCAGTCTTTATATGGACAGATAATTTGAGAGCCTGGACTTTATGAGGAGAAGTGTGGCATCAGAATTGGAGGAAAACACATCAACAATGCAGGTGATATGACCTTACTTGCCAAAACTGAGGAGGACCTGAAGCATTTGCTAAAGAAGGTCAAAGACTATAGTCTTCAATATGACTTGAAGCATAACATCAAGAAGACAAAGATTCTCACCACTGGGCCACTTGGCAGCACCATGGTAGAAGGAGAAAAGATTGAGGTTGTTAAGAACTTCAGCTTGCTCATCTCCACAGTCAGCACTCTTGGCACCAGCAGTCAGGAGAACAAAAGATGAATTGCATTGGGGAAGTCTGCTGTCAGGGACCTCTCCAGTGAGGAGCACTGATGTCAGTCTAGAAATTAAGGTACCCCTAATCCAGGCCATGGTGTTTGCAGTTATTTGTTATACATCAGAGAGCTAAGGATTTCAGAAGAACTATTTATGCCTTTGAGTTATGGTGCTAGAGAAGAGTACTGAACATACTATAGACCAAACAAATTATAGAACAAATAGGCCTGTCTTGGAGAGGGTGAAACCCAGTCTTTCCTTGGAGGCTAGGGTTTTGAAGCTCTGTCTCACATACTTTGGGCACATGAGCAGGAGGGACCAGTCCTTGGAGAAGGATATCATATTTGGAAGGGTGGAGGGACAGCACAGAGAAGAAGACCCTGGATGAGATGAATAGACACGATAACTGGAGCAGTGGGATTAGGTGTTTTGGAGTCAGTGAGACTGGCTCAGCATAGGGCAGGGTTCAGAGGCGTTGTATATAAAGATACTATGAGTCTCAGGTGACTCAACGGCACATAACAACTACTCATGTTCAATATTCTTTGCCAACCTCACTATTCAAAAGGCATTGTTCTTCAGTCTTCTTATTCATTGTCCAGCTTTCATAACCATAGAAAGTAATTAAAAACACCATGGATTGGATCAAGCACACCTTGGACTTTAAACTGATGTCCTTGCTCTTCATAGTGAGTATTTAACAACAATAAAGAATAATTTTTGGTGAACAAAATATTACATGGTTGAATCAGGAGGATATGCCACTGAGTGACCTCAGTCACAAAAAAGCAAACATTGTCAGATACCACTTTAATACAAAGTCAAGGAGGGGTTTGTACACTAAAAGCAACAGCCTTTGATAGCTCCCAGGGATAAGGTAAGGATTAGGGAACGAATCACTTGCTAAATAGTAGAGATGTTATTGGTTTTGGTGAATAGAAAGGAAATGTACAGTATGGGTAATGTGAGCCCTTGACAGTATGACCAAGGTGCATGAAGAGACACTGAGAGAGATATAAGTGATGTAAGACTACAGGACCATTATGATAAATCATACAGCATACACAGTTCTGCAACAGCAGTAATAGCACATCAAAATTTGTGAGTCGTCACATAAGTAGGTATGCATATAAATGCACATAAGTGTGGAGGAGCACATGGAGTTGCAGGGGCATCAGTGTGCAAGTATAGTTATGAACATTTGTATATACATATTTATATGTGTACATATATAAATATAAAATAGAAATAATTTTTTTAAGTTATTGCTAATAGTTCACTATGTTATTACAGAAAACTATTTTTAAAATAGTGCTTTGTTTTTAGTAAAAATAGCTTATGTTAACCACCACAGAAAAAATATGAAGATGCAGAGTATAAAAAGACTGACATATGTAAACCACAAACAAAAGCATCCCTAGAACAAGAAGTGAAGGAAGAGAAACCAGCCCTGGAGAAACCAGTAGACGTAGAAGAGGAAAAAAAGCAGAGTGATGGTGAAATTCTTAAAAAAGGTAGGATGATCATTTATAGTGAGGATACTGGGCATGCTTATGAAACAGCATACAGTTGACAGTTAGACCACATGAGGTTGAGGTGCCACCTTCTGCCATATAAAGGAAATCTGTGTGTAACTTACAGTTTCCCCTCAAATACAGGTTTGAAATGTATGGACTGACATTGGTTTGTATAAACAGCACATGGGTTTGCATGGCACAGACCCACATGGTGTGACGGGCCATTTAAAATGCCACGTGAAGCTAATCATCTGTACATAAACAGTTCATCTCTTCCCTGGAGAGTTGATTAGCAGTGTTTAACAACACCACAGTTGCAGCAGGGAAAAAGGAAACAAACCCACATATAAGTGGGTCCTCAGAGCCCAAACAACTCTGTAAAATCAAGGGTTAACTGTGTTATATGGTAAACATAAGTTGTTACACTTATGTATTGCCAAATTTATACCATCTTAAACTTCAGGAATGCAGGACTATGGCAAAGCTGTGCTGTAATTCCTGGGTGGGTGTCATACCCTGAGTAGGTTACACACCCTTGAGTAGGTGTCATGCCTGAGCAGTCAATCTAACTATATAATTTCTTTCTCAAAAAAATAAAAAATTACAAACAATCTCCAGGTAACAGACCAGATCTTCTCCACACTGTGGGATGAGTGTTTGTGTGTGACAGAGAAAAAGCTAGGCTTGAGTGAAAGTTTACAGAGCAAACTGATTTTCCATTCAACCATTTATATATTTATTGTTTTGTACTAATTACAATACCCCCAAGGTAACTCCTCACTCTCTTGCTTTCTTTGATTCTCATTTCCATTAATTCTGTCATCCTATCCCTTTTGCCTTCTGAGCTTCATGGTGCCTTTTGGTCTTATATGGTTGATTGTTCTAAGGAATGGCTTTTCCTGTTTCTATTCACTGTATAGGCCTATCTGTTGTTTGAGTGACTTGAGGAACAGGATGAGTTTTGCTTCAGGTTCTGAAAGGGGTACGTAGAGCCATAGATTTAAGGGTTCCATCAGTCTCTACATCAGACTAATACCTGACCATTTTTATGTCCTTGGGTTTTGTTAGGCATTTTACACACTCTGTCTAGGACCATGTGCTGTGATCCCTCTTAGGACAGTTGGCAGTGGCAGCCAGGCACCATTTAATGTCTCTGGTCTCTGGGTCATGGATATTAAGTTTTACTTGGTTCATGAGTCTGTCCTTGGGACTAATTGTTCTCTGTCCCTGCTTTTGTCTTTAATGTTTTTAAGTCTTCTGAAGAAGTGTGTAGGTGAGTTGGAATAGGTGCAAATGGTTCTTATTTAGCCTTTCCTTGATGTATGAAGACCAGTGGGGCACAACGATTGAAATGCTTGACTTCTAACAAAAAAGTCAATGGTTTGGATTCACAAGTATAGGAGATAGAAGTGGCATAGTCCGTCAGTGAAGATATAAAGTGTTAAAAACCCTACGAGTGCAATTCTCCTTTGCCCTCTAGGGTGTTGCATGTTGAAATCAACTGTAATAGTAGTGGCTTTGACTTGGAGTTACGGATTAATTAGTGCAGGGCTCCAAGCCTTTTCAATGTTTTTAAAAAGCTGCACATAAACAGGAAGTGAAAGTCATTTTGATAAAAAATTTCATGTAAGAGATACTTGTTTCTGAGGGAGGACAAATATACATAACATTAAAATTGTTAAAGCAAGTAGTTGTCCATACATCTGATATAACCAGGGAATGAGTTCAGAGCAGAGCAATTACGAATTTCACATGCTGTAGTTTTTGACAGGAACTTCTCTCACTTCTGAGAATGTTAAAGATGAAGTGAAAGGTGGGGTCAAGATTGGTGGACGATTTATCAATAATCTGCGTTATGCGGATGACACAACCCTGCTTGCTGAAACTGAGGAGGACCTGAAGCGCCTGCTGCAGAGTGTCAAGGACTGCAGCCTACAATATGGATTGAGGCTCAATGTCAAGAAGACAAAGATTCTCACCACTGGACCAATTGGCAGCCTCAGGATGGATGGTGAAGAGATTGAGATTATGCACAGCTTTAGTTTACTTTGCTCCATAGTCAACAGTCTTGGCACCAGCAGCCAGGAAATTAAAAGGCGCATTGCCATGGGAAAGTCTGCTGTTAGGGACCTCTCCAAAGTGCTGAAGAGCAATGGTATCTCTTTGGAGACTAAGGTGCGTCTGATACAGGCCATGGTCTTCGCAATCACCTGTTATGCATCAGAGAGTTGGACAATGACCAAGGAGGATAGAAGGAGAATTGATGCCTTTGAGCTGTGGTGCTGGAGAAGAGTATTGAGAATACCATGGACTGATAGGAAAACAAACAGATTTGTCCTGGAAAGGGTTAAACCGGGTGGCTCCTTGGAGACAAGGATTCTGAGGCTCCGTCTAACATACTTTGGACATGTTGTGAGGAGAAACCGGTCCTTAGAGAGGGACATCATGCTTGGGAGGGTGGAGGGACAGTGCAGGAGAGGAAGGCCCTCTATGAGGTGGATTGATTCAGTGACTGGGATAATTGGGATGGGAGTGTCAGAGACAGTGCGATTGGCACAGGACAGAGCGGAGTTTAGGGCTGTTGTACATAGGGTCGCTATGAGTCGCAGGCGACTCGACAGCACATAACAACAACAATAAGAACAATAATTATAAGGAATTGGTTGCAGCAGCCAAATCAATACCCAGTCTTCAATGGCTAGTTTTTTTATAAATATTTCATGTCTTGAAAAGATTACTGATCTTGTATCCTCTTGCAGTCTATACTAAAAATCTTAAAGGTATTGAAAGTGAAAGCTGAGGGTTTTTGATGGCTCACAGTTGAGAGTTCCTTATGTATGTGTAGAAAGAAATACTATTGTTAAGTGCCTTCAAGTTGCTTGCCACTCATAGCAACCCTATGTACAACAACTCTAAACCCTGCTCTATTTTGTGCCAGCCTTATTGTCTCTCGTCTCTAAACACCTACCTCCATTGCCCCAGTCACTGAATCAATCCATTTCCTCGAGGGTCTTCCTCTCTTGCACTGTCCCTCTACCCTCCCAAGCATGATGTCCCTCTCCAAGGACTGGTCCCTCCCTGCAACCTGCCCATAGTATGTCACAGAAAGCTTCAGAATCCTTGCCTCCAAGGAGCAGCCTGGTTTCACTCTCTTTAGGATGAACGTGCTTGTTCTCCTAGCAGTTCAGTACTCTTCTCCAGCACCAAAGCTTAAAGGCATCAATTCTCATTCTATTATCCCTAGTCATTGTCCACCTTTCTGACACATAGCAAGTTATTACAAATACTATGGCCTGGATCAGGCACATCTTCGTCTCCAAACTGATAATGTTGTTCTTCAGTACTCTGGAGATGTCCTTTACTGCAGACTTTGCCATTGCAATTCATCATTTAATTTCTTGGCTGCTAGTACCATGAGTGTTGATTGTGGAACCAAAAAAACTAAAGCTGTTAACAATCTCTGTCTCTTCACCATCCATCATGATGCTGCCATTTGGCTCGGTGGTGAGAATCTTTGTTTACCTGATGTTGAGTGTCAATCCATATTTAAGCCTGCAGTCCTTGACCTTCTGCAGCAAGTGCCTCAGGTCCTCAGTTGCAGCAAGCAAGGTTGTGTCATCTGCATGATACAGATGTTGATGGAAAGTGATCATAATTGCTAATGTAAATTGTAGCCCAAACCAAGCTCCAGATTGAAATTGTTTACAATGTAAATTCTACTTGAAGCATTCATTTTGTTAGTAGATGGTGAAACAGTTCATTGCAAAACCCACTCAAAACTCACTGCCATAGATTCAAACCAATTCATAGTTAACTCTCCATTGAGTTTCTGAGACTTTAAATTGCATGAGAGGTGATTGCCCATCTTTCTTTCACAGATGGATTGGTGGATTTCAACCACCAGAGGTACAGCCTTTGAGTTATCAGTGCAGCACCCTACAGACTAGGCCACAAGAGCTGACTCCCAAAGGAAAAAGTGTGTGCATATAAACACATGCATATGTACATACATCTGTATACACACATATGTGTGTGTGTTGGGATATCTAAAACAACACATTCCTTAAGCTGTTCTTAGGTTATTAGTTGTTTTTAAAGCTTTATATTTGTCTTACTGCTTAGTAAATTGATAATACTAATTAGAAGGCATTTATATAAAACTTATTGGTATTAGAATATCAAAAGGACCTTTTTATAGCGTTTTCTCATGTAACCAAATGGCTCCACATTATAATGAGTGGTGCACAGGAAATGTAAAGTTGATTTATCTGTGTCCTTTCACAACCCCACCCTTTATACCTTATCTGATTGTGTGCAGTGGTGATGTCACTGACCTCATCATGCATAATGGATGCAGATTGGATTGTTGTAATTCTTGGTGTTTTCACTGGCTGATTTTTGGAACTAGATGACCACACCTTTCTTTCTTGTCTGTTTTATTTGTTCAGCAACAGAACAATGCCTAAGACTTCAGAGGTGATGACTGCATTAAGCTGGCAGTCAAACCTAGGTCTCCCTTTTGAAAGCCAAGAATTCTACTGTTACAAACGAATTATACCTTTTAGATAGCTTCTGTTTTTGTTAACTGTCATTGAGTTAGACCCTGACATATGGTGAACCTATAAGTAATGGGATCAGACCACTATAAGTCAGTAGGATTTTTATTGTCTGATTATTTGGCACTTTTGCCAGGCCTTTCTTCCTAGGCTGTCTTAGTTTGGAAGCTTTGCTGAAACATGAACCCAATGGGTGACCATTCATTCTCACATGTGAAATAGCAGCAGCCTAGGTTTGCGCATCACAGTAGCATGCAAACTGCCACAGTCCAGCTTAAGCGACAAATGATGGTATATTGCTCCTGTTGTTACTGTGTACCATCAAGTCAGAACTAATTCCTAGCTGACCCTCTCGCAGAGATTTCCCATCTTTCTTCTCTGGAGCATCTGGAGGACTCGAACCTCATGCTTTTGAGATTGTAGCACATTTTCTTGGCATTAGGCTTTGGTAATAATAGTGACAGTTGAAGAGTGGGATAAATGGAATTCAAAGAAAGGTCAGTAATTGAAAGAAAAAAATGGTTAATGTACACGGAGAAATAAATAGTATGTTGAAGAATAAAATATCAGATTAAAACATGCAGTACAATTTATGAATGTGGGAATCATGGTATATTCTTTGGTTTTCATATGCCCTAGAATTTTTTTTCTGTACATATGCTTTGTTTTATACAATCATTCATATTCATTGTGTTTTATTTGTGTGCATCATTTTATACTATCATTCTTATGGATTATGTTTTATATAATTATCATTGATCTATGCATATTAGCCCTCTATCTTTTCAAGTCCTCATTGACCTTTCCCATTTCTTCTGCCATAGTTTGAACTTAATAGGTCCTAATCAAATTTGATGACTTAACTATAAAATGTGGAATAGTGAGTACTTGTAATTGTTTTTTAAACTCAAATTTTATTTAAATACTGGAAATATAAATAAGTCTTCTTATATTTAATAATTTTCAATAGCAAAACTTGAACTCATTGAATTCTTGCTTTTAATAAAATCCTAGAAGAGGAAGGAGAACCTGAGGAAAAGCGTGAAGAAGAAACAGAAATCATCGAAGGGCAAGAAGATGGTAATAAATCAAATACTTCTGGATCAGAAGATGAGGTAAAGCAATGTTTTAGTAGATATTTGTGATACATAAAAAATTAATTATGTAATTATCACAATCTTTTTTGGGCCAGATTTTCCCCAACTTTCATAAACTACATATTCCATAAGCCTAATAATGTATTGTTAAATATATTCATAAAACCAAAGCAAGAAAATACTATAACTTAGGATTTGAATTATTGCACTGAATCAAATTCAGAGAAAAGACTGACTGGAGAACTCTGGTGGCCTAATGGTAAGGAGCTGCACTGCCAACCCAAGGGCATGCAGGTTGAGTTCATCAGCTTTTCTGCGGGAGAAGACAGGCAGTGTCCTCCCGTGCCATTTACGGCCTCTGAAAACCCGCTGGAGGTTTATCTAGAGATGGGTCAGGTCCACCGCCACAGTATCCACCAATCCCATACTATTGTAATACACAGTGAAATAGATTGTAGTTTCTGAAAGCCAAACTGAGCCTTAGATGTAAAAATGACAATTTTATCATTAAAATACTCCATTGGAAGATGTAAGAAAGAGATTTAAATATTTAAAAGGATAGTTTCCTTTACAGCTGTTGTTAAAAAAATGATTATTTTCTAAATATTTTGTCACATTTTTAAATATTCATTGGTTAGTGCCTTTTGAAATTTTTAATTAATTTTTATCCGTGACTTGGTATGTTTACTTTTTTTCACAGCATGATATATAATGAAACTTTCCAAAATGCCCTCTTTCAGTCAATTATTAGGCAACCAGAAAACATTTAGGATATAATTCAGAAGCAACACTCTCTTTTCTTTTTATCCAACATATCCTTAATTCCTGTTTTCTATATTTTTCTGTTGTTACTATTAGATATCCCAAGTTAATTTTCTATTAATAATGAACCCACATGATGGAGTAGAGCTTCCCCCCCACAGTTTTCTGGTCAGCTGGAGAGAGGGAAACCATCAGTCTTCCAGCTAGCAGCAGAGGAATTTTATTTATTTTTTTAAAAAATTTATATATATTTTAAAAACTTTTATTAAGATTCTAATAAAAGTTTACAGAAAGACTGGGTTTTCTGTTGGAACCACCAACAGAAAACTGTGCTGTATATTTCTCTGGATTGTTGTCATCTGGTGGTTATGCTCCACCAAGTCAGAACCAACTTACAGCTGACCCTCTAGCAGATTTTCAGGGACAGTAAATTGTATGGGAGGAGGCGTCCATCTTTTTCCTGTGGAGCAACTGGTGTTTTGAACTGCATGCCTTTGAATTTGCAGCCCAGCAACTTACCCACCAACCCAGCAGAGTCCCTCTGTTTTTCTAAATAGAGCAGCTTTTTAAGAATCTCTATCCTAATCAGTCTAACTACTTAGTGTGAGGTAGGATAGAAGAGCAGTTATGTGTGTGATAAAATAAACTACCTTTCTTTCTCTGCCTAGTTTATTATTTTTCAATTGCTTTCTACACGTTATTCAGTGGGCATATTGTCCACTGGAGTTAACTGCCCTGTGTGTGTGCTTTTAAGGAGGCTCTGGCAGTTTTATTTGTCTGACTAGCCATATTACGGGGAGCCAAGAGAGGATTATCCTGCAGCAGAGCTTTATTAAATAGTACTCGCTTCACTGGTCAATCTTTTAATACTTGAAAGTATCTTAATTCCATGGTCTAGTCTTTTAGCGAGAGTCACTGTAATAAATCAGTTCTTTTATACAATATAGCCTTGAAAAAGAATTATAACTTTTTTATGTATAATATGTTATTCAGTATTTTGTTTTGTTACATGAGTATAAAAGAAATTATATATATAAGCTTCTTATTCTAGGGAAATAAGGGAAAAGTCACCATTGAGCTTAATTCTGATTTATAGTGACATGTAGGAGAGAACAGAACTGTCCCATAGGGTTCCCCGGTTATAAATCATTACAGAAGCAGACTGCTATAGCCTTCCATCCTGTGCTTATCCACTGTATGACCAGGACCTATCTCATCTATCACCTTCCAATCCTGAATTCTTTGTCAATTTGATCAGTGAGGAATTTCTTTTTCACTACTTGGGCAGGCGAGCAGCACTGCCTCCTTCCTTCCATCCATAAAAGAACTAGCACCAGCTTCCTTGTCAACTCAGTTCTTTAGTATATTATATTGTATGGGCTTTTTATGAAAACAAATATTTTATAGTTTGCATGGTACTATTTTCCAGAAAGGACACTTTTCAGAGCATCTACACTATAGAGCCCAGAACAACTTCACTTTGTGGCTTTAAATTGTACTAAGATTTTATATGCCAATTTCCCCACTAAGTTTTCTCCTTTCAAATGGGTCTCTTAGAAGCTCATCTAGTGGCTTCCGGTTTTTGCCGAGTCTGCGCGGCTTTGTTCCCACAGTTCCAATACTAAAAGTTTCGACAAAAAAAATGATTCAATTCCTATTGTCCACGCTGCACCTCAGACCCTCCAGGTTTTAGTGGGCTCAAGAGAATTCAGCCGATTTCCCCACTAACCTTTTTCCTTTCAGGTGAGTCTCAATGCAGCTCAGCTCAGTTAGTGGATTCCAGCTTTTGCTGGGTCCGCGATGGGACCCCCTGCGGGACCGCTGCAGGGCAGGCAGGCAGGGCTCCGGTTTTTAAAGCTTCTAAAATAATGTATTAGCACAAGTTCTGATTCAAAATCCTACTGTTTGCGTCATGCTGTGATGGTCAGTCTCTGTGGAGCGTAAAGTACTCTCTGGTATCCTTTCTACGCTGCTATCCCTCTGGCTCTTTACACTGTGCTCTCCACCTCCGGCATCTTCCCCTCCTCTAAATTGCACTAGGATTTTAACAGCATCTCATTTTCTAGCATGGTAGTAACATACCTCCTCAGAGAGCAAGAGTGCCCTTGTCTATACCTACCAGAATGTTCTCTTGACACTTCATGTTGTCTCTTCTTAGCCTTTTTTTGTACATATTTTTTTTATAAAAAAAAGTTATCACAAAATGTAAAAAATAAAAATGTCACAGTTGATGTTTATTTTTCCTGTCTCCTAATTTTGAGGAAATGTCATGTATTATCCAAAAAGAATTTTGTAAAACTAATACAGCATTTTTGTAAAAAACATTTTTATTGTGATTTGAGTCAAAGTTTACAAAGCAGATGTCTTTCTGTTCATACAATTCAGATATATTTTATTTTTTATTGCCATCTCCCCAGTATGGCAGTATTCTCCCAACTTCCTCCATGTGCTTTTCCCATTCCATTCATCTTTCTTGTCTCTTCCTGCCTTCTCAGTTTTATTGTAGGTTAAATTTAGCCTTTTGATTTTATATGGTTGACTATTCTAAGGAGTGTATATGTTGTTGTTAAGTGCTGTCGAGTCATAGACGACTCATAGCGACCCTATGAACAAAAGACCTGAACATTTGTATAACTTTTTTGTTTCTCCAAGTTCCTAAAGTTTTCGGAGGCAAGCTATTTGAGAAGTGGATGCCACTCCTGCTTCCAAGCTTGCTTTGATCAGGAAGTTCCACCAAACACTGTCCACCATGGGTAACCATTATCGCATTTGACACATCGGGGTCACAGTGTTTGGCATCACAGCAACCATGAGTTACCTCTGTACAGCAAATGGACAGACCAGTGCTATACCACTTAGAAGAATGCTTGACCAAAATAAATTAAAACCAGGCCGAGGGCCGCAGATTAAAATCACCCACCTTTGGATTGGTAGCATAACTTTCTATCCACTAGGCCAACAGAGCTCTCTTGGTTGTTGTTGTTACTGTTAAGAAGGAGTGTATATACTCTTTGGAATTATTACTCACTTTATAATTCTGTCTTGTTGGGCTCAACAGTTATAATGCACACATATCTCATTTTGTAAATGATGATATTATGTAACCAGTCATTAATTATGACAATAAGATGATAAACATAAGCCCTAGAATTGACTTGTTAATAATATTCCTTATCAGCTGCTTATTTGTTAATCATGGTTATTCTAAAAAACAATAGTCTTGTCAAAAGGACAAAGGAAAGCACATCAGTTTATGCATACATTTATGTTGGTCTCTATGAAATCAAGAAATACATGTAACACAACATTTGATTGTTAGAACATAATTTGGAAAGATTAGATATATTCACTGGGAAAATCTGCTGTCATTGACCTCTCCAGAGTGCTAAAGAGCAACAGTGTCAGTCTAGATACAAAGGTGCGCCTAATCCAGGCCTTGGTCTTCTCAGTTATACTTGTTATACTTCAGAGAGTTGGACAGTGACTAAGGAAGACAGAAGAAGAATAGATACCTTTGAGTTGTGGTGCTAGAGAAGAGTCTTGAACATATCATGGACTGCCAAGAAAACAAAGAGGTCTGTCTTAGAAGCTAGGATTTTGAAGCTCTGCCTCACTTTGGGCACGTGGCCAGGAGAGATCAGTCCTTGGAGAAGGACATCATGCTTGGAAAGGTGGACAGACAGTGCAGGAAAGAGAGCCCCGGATGAGGTGGATTGATATAGTAACTGGGGTGATAGGGCTTAGTGTGTTGGAATTAGTGAGTCTGACTCAGGACAGGGAAGGTTCAGAGCTGCTGTACATACAGAGTTGCTATACATCGCAGGCAACTCAATAGCTCATAACAACAATAACATACTATGACAGGTTTGGAAGCAGGAGTGGCATCCACTTCCTAAACAGTATGCTTCCAGAAACTCTATGAATTTTGACAAAGGTCTGTAGTTATAGAGAGGCTTCAGGCTTCCTGTTCATAGGGTTGCTATGAGTTGTGCTCGACTCGAAGGCAATCAACAACAAAAATAACTCTACTAGTTCCCCAGTGTTGTTGTTAGGTGCCGTCGAGTAAAGCACAATGCATAGTGACCCTGTGAACAAAAGATCTGAACCCTGTTCTCTCCTGTGCCATTCTTACACTTCCTGAGACACATGAGCCCATTACAGCAGTCAATGTATCAATCCACCTGTTTAGGGTCTTCCTCTCCATCACCGACCCTCCCAACATCATGTCCTTCTCCAAAGAATAGAATTTCCTAGCAGCATGCCCAAAGTATGTGAGGCAAAGCCTGCCTCATCATTCTTGCCTCCAAAGAGCACTCTGGCTGCACCGGCTCCAAGACATACCTGTTTGTTCTCTTGACAGTCCATGGGATGTTCAATGCGCTTCTCCAACACCACTACTTAAAGGCATCAGTTCTTTTTCTGTCATCCCTACTCATTGTCCAGCTCTCAGATGCATAGCTAGTAATTGGAAAGACTATGGCCTGAATCAGATGCACCTTAGTAACCATTTTTCTCATTCTTTTTCCTAGATGAAGGAAGCAGATGAGAGCACAGAGTCTGGAGATGGGCTGGAAAAGTCAGTACGAAAACGAAGAGTACGAAAGGACTAAACTATTTCCAAGTATTTTTAGCTGAGGGGATATTTGGCATTCTAAGAATCAGTGTGCCACAACTGAACTTGAATCATTCTTCATGTCTGCTTTCTAATATCCAACATTATTATTCTTTCATATACTTATTTTAGGCTTTCTTTTCAAGGAAAAATAAACTAACTCTGAAGTTACTTGGTCTTTTCACTTAGAATAAAAGAAGAATGGCAAGTTTCATAACAGCCTTAAGAGATTAATATCATTAGAATATCATTAAAGTTTTAGTAGTTTGGAGTTAGTTTTGGTTTATACAGAGCAAAATACTATGCAGTAGTAGCTTGAGTCCTATTGGAAAAATAATTTTTGGAATTTCCACTTTCAATTTGCTATAGTACAACACAACTGGCAATTCTCTAGGAAGCTCAAAGAGTTTTCTGTTGTACAGAGCTAAATGCAATAAAGTTTATATATGGTTATTTGACTATAAATAATTCAAAGTGTTGTATGTAACCCACCACTTCAGTGTCACATTATATAAATGGTAGATTGGTCACGTGAAATAAATTATAGATTCCTTTAAATAGGTGTATTTCTGGCTTATAAGCAACAGAATCGAAATGTCTATGAGTCATTCATAGAATCACCAGCTAATAGTGCAGCATGTTCTGTCTTTTAATGCAAAAAATAATAGACTTATCAAAACGAAATGCGGTATAGACTTCATTTTTCAAACTTTTACAATTGTTTTATGACAATGGCTTAGCCAATTCACTTCATGGCCTATCTGTATATTGCTTTTGAACGTAACTACATATTTCCCCCTTTAAATTATACATTCAACAGAAGTGGCTTTAAATTGTTTTGTTTGATCATTAAGTTGTGAATTGACTCCAACTTGCTGTAACCCCTACGGGTCAGAGGAGCAGAGTGCTACATTGACTTTTCAATAGTTGATCTTTCAGAAGTAGATCATCAGGCTGAGGGATCCCTGGGTCGACTTGAACCTTCAAATTTCTGGTTAACTGCTGAGCACTTAGACATTTATACCATCCAGGGCTAATAGATTCTCATAGCTAATAGGTATCAGTCTTTGTGCTTTGTAATTTATCTTGCTGGTAAGAGCTAAACATATTTTAAGTCTATTATCTCATTTAGTATCACAGTTGTCTCTAAGATGGATTAGAGTAAATGCCACTGGTTTTTTGAAATAGTTATCAAAAAGTCATAAGACTAATTTATAATGGAGCTATGCAGTTTCATTTTAAAAATGTAAAGAAATTTTCATGTTTGATTAGCAGGTTGAGACCCCAATTTATGTCTTTTAGGCCACAAAAAATAATTTTAATATTATTTATTTAGAATTGCACACTGTTGGGTATGATTTTTTATTATAGACAGTTGATTCCCATTCTTGGGTAGCTTCAACTAAGCTTCTCTATAACGCCCTCCTATACCAGTAAAGTGACGAAAATGTTAATCTGTAGCTTCTTTCTTTATTCAAGGGAGGAAAACAGCCAGGAACACTATCCAGCCCTTAGAGATTTTATTGAAAATAAAATGAAATGCTTTACTTCATTACTGTATTTTCAGCTTTCACAAATTAACAGGGCAATTCTTGATTCATAGTTTTAGCTGTAAGTTTGTATTTACTTACAGAGACAACATATTTTGTATTTAGAATGTTCAAATTGACAACAGACATAATCATTCTATATGAGAATGTTTGTGAAGGCAAATCCTTTAGGAGCTAAATAATCTAATTTGACAAAAATCTTGACTGTGTTTTCGGACATTTTTTCCTAAATTTTTTTAATCCTCTCCATTCCCTTGGTTACAGATTTATTTTAACATTATCAAACTTAGTGAGCTTTCATTGGTAATAATTGAGCAGTCAGTTTCTTCACATCACTGTTATTGCTCCATTGTGGATCTGTCATGGCTGGCAGGTTAACTAAAGCATAAACTCTACTAAATAATGTGGACTGGATCAGTGAAGTAGAGAAAACCTGGGAGACATTATCCATATACATATGTCTCCGTTTACCTTCTTAAGGTATAATATTTTAATGATGAAATTACTTTTTCCCACAACAAACTGGACTCTGAGAAGAATGGGAATCCCAGAACACCTGATTGTACTTAGCGAAACCTATACCTAGACCAAGAGACAGTTGTCAGAACAGAGCGAGGAAACACTGCATGGATCAAAATTGGGAAGGGTGTGCATCAAGGATGTGTCCTATCTCCATATCTTTTCAAGCTATATGCAAAACGGATTAGTCAGGCGGCTGGACTCTGTGAGAATTGTGGCATCAGGAATGGAGGTAAACTCATCAGCAATCTGCACTATGCACAACCCTGCTTGCTGAAACTGAGGAGGACCTGAAGTGCTTGCTGCAGAAGGTCAAGGACTACAGCCTGCAATATGGATTGAAGCTCAACATCAAGAAAACAAAGATTCTCACCATTCGGCCAATTGGTAGCATCATGATGGATGAGAGATTGAGATTGTTGACAGCTTCAGTTTGTTTGCTTGACTCTAATTAAAAGACAAATTGCATTGGGGGAAGTCTGCTGTAAGACACCTCTCCAATGTACTCAAGATCAATGGTGCCTTTCTGGAGATTAAGGTGATCTGATACAGACCATGGTCTTTGCAATCGCTTGTTATGCATTAGAGAGTTGGACAATGACTAGGGAGGATAGAAGGAGAATTGATGCCTTTGAGCTGTGGTGCTGGAGAAGAGTATTGAGGGTACCATTGACTGGTAGGAAAACAAACAGATTCATCCTGGAGAGGGTGAAGCCAGGCTGCTCCTTGGAGGCAAGTATTCCGAAGCTCCGTCTGACATACCTTGGACATGCTGCAAGGCGGGATCAGTCCTTGGAGAGGGATGTCATGCTTGGGAGGATAGAGGGACAATGCAGGAGAGGAAGACACTCAATGAGATGGAGTGACTCAGTCACTGGGGTAATAGGGATAGGCATGTTGAAGACAATAAGATTGGCAAGGGATTGAGCAAGGTTTAGGGCTGTTGTACATAGGGTCACCATGAGTTGCAGGTGACTCGATGGCACATAACAACAATCATATTTGGAAGGGTGGAGGGAAAGCACAAGAGAGGAAAGACTCTTGAGATGGATTGATTCAATGACTGGGGTAATGGTGTAGGTGTGTGGGAAACAATAAGAGTGGCACAGGACAGGCCAGGGTTCAGGGCTGTTGTACACAGGGTCTCTATGAGTTAACAAGCAACTCTACAGCACATAACAATATCCTGATCTAACTTCCTTGTTTAAAATTATTTAAATTTTATTCTTTTCTCTAATAAAGGAGGAAAATAAGTATATTTTGTTTTTATTTCAGTTGGCCTTTATTGACTTTTAACTTGACCAGGCTAAAAGAACTTACTTTTCCTTCTAGAAGTAGCCCTTATTACTTGTAAGATTTCTCTAGAAAGAGACTATCTTCAGGAGAGAAGATGTCACTGGGTGGATGTTCCACCAGCGCTGTGCTTGAACACCGTCATCACAGGGGAGTGTGAGAGGTGGTTAGAGGTGGGTGGAGGTCTGAGCCTTCAAACTAAGATTGGTTAGGCCAAGGGGTGCGAGGTGCTGGAGGGGCAAAGAGAGGGAACTGAGCTGTATGGTAGCAGAGCGGGTGTGGGAGTTGGGGGAAAGACACATGCACCTAAGGGGGTGGTGGGCAGTACCAACACCTGATCCATTACCTAAATAATGAGAACGGTCTCCTACCTGCTCCTTTGGGCAAAATTCTTGTCTGTCAAATAGTGCTTTAGAGCTGAGAATCAAAATTAAGACAGATTCTTGCCATTGGGCCAGTTGGCAGCACCAGGATGGATGGAGAGGAGACTGAGGTTGTTAACCGTTACAGTGAGCTCAGCTCCACAGTCAACACTCACAGCACCAGCAGTCAGAAAATGAAAAGATTAATTACATTAGCTAAATCTGTCAGGGACTTTTCCCAAGTACTGAGAATAAATGATGTCAGTCTAAAGACTAAGGTGTACGTGATCCAATCCATGGTCTTCAAATTACTTTCTATGCATCAGAGAGCTGTTTAATGACTAAGAATAATAGAAGAATTGATACCTTAGAGTTCTTTGTGCTTTAGAAGAGTCTGAAGCATACCATTGACCTCCAAAAAAACAAATAGGTCAGTCTTGGAGAGGATGAAACCAAATTTCTCCTTGGAGGCTAGGATTTTGAAGCTCCATCTCACATACTTTGGGCACATGGCCAGGAGAGACCAGTCCTTGGAGAAGTACAACATGCTCAGAAGGGTAGAGGGACAGTGCAGGAGAGGAAGATCCTAGATGAGATAGATTGATACAGTGAGTAGGGCAAAGGGGGTGGGTGTGTCAGAGTAATTGAGACTGGTTCAGAGCAGGCTTCAGAGCCTATAGTGCCTATAGGGTCACTATAAGTCACTGGTGACTTGACTGCATATAACAGCAGAGAGAAGGATCCACTCCTAAAATAACAGGCCTCAGAAAACGCTATGTACAATACAGCACACGTAGAGTAGATTGGTACATATGGCACCACAGGCAGAACCTTCTTACTGGGAATCACAGAGGAGGAGGAACAGTTGCAAACACACTACTGGCACATACCAAGGAGGGACCAGTCCTTTTAGAGGGACCTTATGCTTGAAAGGGTGGAGCGACAGCGCAGGAGAGGAAAAACAAGGATGAGAAAGATTGACTCAGTGCTGAGAGAAAAGGATTAGGTCTGTTGAAAGTAAGATTGGCTCATAGTAGGGCATGGTTCAGAGCTAATGTACCCAGGGTCACTGAGTTGCAGGTTACTTGATGGCTCATAACAATGTACTTTAAAATTTAGAATAACTCACAATTTTCTGCCCAGTTTTTTTTTTTTGTTTGTTTTTTTTAATTTAGGTTGTTTATTTTTCATTTCAATGAACATCTACAGAGATTTGGGGATTCCATTCATTCATTGTTGCACCCTTCTCCCCGCACAAACCCCTCCCCCCCTTTGCTCCTCTCCTTGAAAAGCAAAAGAAAAACTCCCTCACTGGTACACAATGCCCCCCCCCGCACCTCCCCAAACCCCACCCCCTACCCCCAAATACAATCCACTCTGCAACCCTCTGCCCAGTTTTTCATGAAAGCTTTACAAATAGGGGAGGAAAAATCTATTTAAGAGTCGTCTACAACTAGATAGCACTTAACAATATTGACTAAATGTTTTTTGCTTTAACAGGATTTAGAGATAAAAAATCTTAAATGATTAAAGAATAACGGTATGTCTTCATATATTGAAAAGATTAATTTTCTCATTATAGCTCGATTGTATTTCTATAGTTTGGCACATTTGAAGAATTTAGGAAATTGAGCTCTTTCTCACCTAATAGGGACATTGTTGTTAGGTGCCATCGAGTAATTTGCAACTCACAATGACCCTATGTATAATAACCTTGAAACCTGCTCTATCCTG